TCAGCAGCCTCTGAATCACCCAAGAGTTCCCTCAGATCGTCTGCTCTGGGCACAAAGGGTCACACTCCGGGGTGGCAAAAAACCAAGGAGCATCCACGTAGTCCTGGATCACAGCAGGGCTCTGCACTGGGGAAAAAGCTGAGATGTTGAGAGAGTCACCTCAGTGATCAACCAGATCAAAGCAACAGCTACAGAGCTGCTGGAACAACTGCTGCCACCTCCCAGGGAATCTCTGGCTTCTGGGGGCTCAGTGACCTGCTCAGCACTTGCCTTGTCCCCCCTGCCCAGGACCTGCAGGAGCTGCAGCAGCATCTTCCATCTGGGCAGGGCGGGCTCAGGGCAGCAATTTCCCTGCCTGTGGTGTCGTGCTCCCTGGAATTAGTGGCCCGGTGTGGTGTCCAAGGAGCTGAGCTGGGCCCAGCAGGGGAGAGCTCCACGTCCCCTCCGGAGCCACCTCGTCCCTGCACGTCCCTCCCGTCCCCTCCCGAAGGTCTGGGCCCTGCAGATCTCCCTGCAGGTGGCCTTTGCCTCTAAAAATAGCCTTTGTGCAATTCCCGGGGAAGGGAAGAGCAATTACACCTCCAGTCTGGGAGAAACACTCCCTCCCTTTCCAGGGGCTGACTGCAGAGCCTCCCGGGGAACAGGCAGAGCTTTTGTGCTGAGGTTGCTGCCCCAGAGCTGAGGTGACCTCCCCGAGCCTCTCCAGACCTGCATCCAAACCCGTGGTTGAGGTCAGGGCGGCCCCACCTCCTGATCCCCAGCCAGGGGTCAGGTCTCCCTCCCAGCCATGGAAAGGGACGTTCTTTCCTCACCCCGTGTCGCAAGTCGGGGCCGCGAATTCGGCGGCGAAAACGCCCCGAAAACCTCAGGTCTTGCTCAAATAAAAGTGGTGTCTCAACACTCCCGGCTCTGCCTTGATGTGCCTCCGCCAGAGTCTCTCCAGGGTGCCCTGATGGAGGGACACAGCCCAGCCCGGAGCTGACGGGGCACAATCACTTGGGAATGTTGCCCGAAAATCCTGGTGCAGCTCTGGAGCTGCTGGAATCCTCCATGTGCTTCCAAACCCTGCTGGAATCCCCCCTGTGCTTCCAAACCCTGCTGGAATCCTCCATGTGCTTCCAAACCCTGCTGGAATCCCCCCTGTGCTTCCAAACCCTGCTGGAATCCCCCCTGTGCTTCCAAACCCAGCTGGGATCACCCCTGTGCTTCCAAACCCTGCTGGAATCCCCCCTGTGCTTCCAAACCCTGCTGGAATCACCCCTGTGCTTCCAAACCCTGCTGGAATCCCCCCTGTGCTTCCAAACCCTGCTGGAATCCCTCCTGTGCTTCCAAACCCAGCTGGGATCCCTCCTGTGCTTCCAAACCCTTGCCAGGCTGCCAGCCACAGTCCTGGAATGCTTTGGGTTGGAAGGGACCTCAAAGCTCCTCCAGTTCCACCCCCTGCCACGGGCAGGGCCACTTTTTCCTCTCTCCCAGGTTGCTCAGAGCTCCATCCAAGGTGGCCTCAGACCCTTCCAGGGATGGGGCAAACTCCTTGCACGATTCCCTCGATCTCCCTGCTCCAAAGGGCAATATTCCAGGAGCCTATGTGGGCACCAGGGCTGTTCTGATAACCACAGTGCTGCCTAGAAAGCAGCCAGGCAGGTTCTCCACTGCTGGAAAGTGTCCCAGTGCCTGCCCTGAGCAGAGCCACCGCTGGGATCTGCAGCAGGGGAGCAGTGGGGAGGCCTGAGGCAGATTTTGGGCTATTCCCCTCTCCAGCAGAGGCTGGAGACTAAAATTAAACCCGTGAGGGAGGCAGCAAGGCAGGGCCTCACCTGCCAGGGGGTCAGAGAGGGAGTCACACACGTGGAGTCCCACCCTGGGAGGCAACACACGGCCCAAAATTCAGGTGTCCCGCCCTCCAGCTGCCAGAGGATTTGCTGAGGGAGGAAGTTCCACCCCAGTGGGAGCAGCTGCTGCTTCCCCTCGCTGCCCAGGAATCCCGGGGGGGGGCTGGGACCAGCTCAGCCAGACCTGCAGCTGATAAGGGCCCTGCTGGGACGGGGGAGACGGGACAGAGACGGTCCCAAAGACACCCAGAGGTGATGAAATTGGGCTCTGTGTGGGCCAAGGCGCCTCTGCTGCTGAAAATAATCCTCCCAGCACAATTAAGGGCTGCTTGACCCGTGTCCTGATCCCTCCCTGAGATCTGGAGGGTGAGGGTGAGTTATTCTCACTCAATAAATGTTTTTCACGTGGAATAATAGTTATGGAGGAAACTTCTTCCATGAAAAACACCCTTTTTTCCACATTGAGGTTGAAATATCCTTTCAAATGCCATTCTGGCACCTGAATGGGACCAGTTTCCAATTCCATTTGATGGGATAAATCTTGGACACCATTAAAATCCCTTCACTTGCCACGTGATGCAGAGAGAGAAACTCAGTCCCCTGTTGTGTCTCAGATCAGTGGGAGCTCTGTCTTCTGGACCATGGAAAACAACATTAATTCATAAATCCCAGGATTATTTCCATTGGAAAAGACCTCCAAGATCATCAAGTCCAGCCTTTGTTCCATCAGCATCTCATCCCCCAGCCCAGAGCACTCAGTGCCACAGCCAGTCCTTCCCTGGGCACCTCCAGGGCTGGGCACTCCCCCACCTCCCTGGGCAGCCCCTGCCAAGGCCTGAACACCCTTTCCAGGAGGAAATTCCTCCCAGTGATTCAAAATTATCTGTTCTGAAACGAAAGCAGAATGAAATCCGTGAAGATCTTCCTGAGGAAAAGAAAAGTTCACTCACCCCTCACGAGTTTTTACACCCTAAAGCCATTTTAGGGAACTCACTGGTGAAGAGCAAGAGAGAGAAGGACAAATTAAACCCCCCTCTCTTAAACTACAAACACAGCCCAAGGATTAGTGGGAATGGGATGGTGTGAAAGGACTCCTGGAGGGGATGAGGTGGCACCACAACACCCCCAGACCCCCAATGCATCGACCTGAGGGGCTGCCCCTCGTTCCCACCCCCTGTCCTGTCCAGCTGGGTCAGGCAGGGGAATGAAAGGAGCCCTGTGAGTGATCTGCCTACGTGTAGGACAGGGCTGGGGAGGAAGGAGAGCGGGGCAGTTGTGAAACCATGAGCTCATCAGCCAGGAGGACTCATTCCCAGAAGGCAGGGCTTTGGGACCATATAAAGGTTCTGCCGTCCCTCTGCCCCGGCATCCACTCGGCTCCCTGAGACTCCCTGGTGGCCGCCTGGGTAAGTCAGAGGGCTCTGCTGCCTCCCTGGGCTTCCCCCTCACGGGGGGCTCCCTTTGCAAGGGAGGGTTTCACCTCCTGCCTTCGGATACGCAAAAGGTTCTCGGAGAGGAGAGGGGCTGTGGGGAGGACAGGCAAATCTGCAGGGCAAATCCAGGCTGAGTGTAACTCTGGGGGGGGGTTGAGGGCTAAATGAGACCCTTTCTGAAAGGGAGAGCAGAGGAAATTGTGTAGGTTTAAGTTCTCCTCCAGGGGAGGAGAGCAGTGGCCTCCTGGAGCTCCCTCCCAGCTGATTTCCTGGGATTCTGCTGTTGATAACAAGGATCTTGTCCAAACTCCAGTTGCATGGGAGAATTCTCTTGGAAAGCAGGGATTTGGGGCTGCAGGAGCAGAGGGCTGAAGGCATCCCTCCTGTGCTGCCTCACTCATGCCAGCCATGGCAAGGGCAATGCATTAATTCGTTTAAAGATCTTATCAGATCCTTATGGAAAAATGGCAAGAGAGGGGTGTCACTGACCTGGAGGAGGGAGAGGAGAGGAGGGAATTGGCGTTGGAGATGTGCTGAGCGGAGCAGCCACCCCAGGGGGAAGGGAGAAGGAGCTGCCACTCTCCCTCTCCTGCCCACAGCTCCGGGGTGGGGCAGGTCCTGTGCTGGGGGGGCTCCAAAATGCCCCTTTCAGGCACCACTTTTACAATCCTCACCTTCAGCTTGTGCCTTTAAGTTGCTTTCAGAGAAGCAGCAGCCCAGGCTTTAGCAAAGACACTTGCCCAGCCCAGCTGAGCCCGGGCCTGCCTTCAGCAGCCACAAAACAGTTTCCCAAATTGCCGGGAACACGAGGAGTGGCCCTGGGAGCAGAAATCCCTCCTGGTGGCTCTGATTCATGCAGGTCACAGGTGTCATTAGTGGCCAGGCCAATCCAGGGACACGGGGACACGTTATCCCTGCTCATTCTCTCCCTGGACTGGGCCAGGGGTCACCTCAGCCCTTCACATCCCCCCCAAAGTCGGGATGGAACCAGAGCAAGAGGAGGAATTGAGTCCTGGTACTCAAAGGAAAGGCTTTTAATTCCAGGTAAAACCTGGAAACCGTTGCAAAAGGGGCAAACCCCACTGAACTGTTTCACTTTTGCCACTGTAAAACATCCCGTTGGCCCCATATTTATATTTTCCAACTTTCCGCTTTTAAATGTTTGTCTTTCACTTTCGTTGTTTTTCTGTTATTATTTTGACTTTCCGAGGCCGTTGTCTCCACACCAGGAGATCTGTGGTTTGTCAGCTCCTCTCATCGGTTCCCCAGGACAGAAATAAAAGGGAGCTGACACTTTGGGAAGAGGGGGAAGGACTGTGAAGTGCAAATCAGCTGCAGGTTCAAAGGAGCGGCTCTACCTCAGCCAGACCTGACAGGGCTGTCCCACATCGCAGAGCAGAGAGAGGAGGGACGAGATAAGGCGGGGTGGGAGCGGGAGCTGAAAGGCAGGATGAAAAAGGAAGAGCAGATCATCATTCTGGGACAACCCGCCTCGGGAAACCCAAGGGCAAGCCGGGAGAGCTTTGCTCTGGTTTCTTGGAACTCGTATTTTATAACTGAACTCGTATTTTATAACTGAACTCGTATTTTATAACTGAACTCGTATTTTATAACTGAACTCGTATTTTATAACTGAACTCGTATTTTGTAGCCGTTCCCCCTCCTCCTGCCGCGCCCCCCTCAGCACCGCAGTAACGCTCCGATTTTCTTTCAGACCATCCCGTTTCCCGCAAAGATGTCCCTGAATCAGACGCAAATCAAGCAGGAGCTCACGCTCCCCCCCGGGCTGAGCAAGAGCATCCCCCAGCCGAGCCAGGAGCCCGCGCCGTGCCCGCAGCAGCATCCCGAGCTCCGGGACCCCACACCCCGCCCGGGTCCAGCCCCGGCGGTGGCGACGTGCCCAGAACAAGCCGTGCCCTTGCCAAGCCAGGAGCCGGGCAAAGGAGAAGCCCCCGCGGTCGCGGTGCCCCAGTGCCCGGCCCAGGAGCAGCAGCAGCAGCAGAGCAAGTGCCCTCCACCCTTCCCAGCCGAGGCTCTGCCGTGCCCAGAGGAGAAACCAGCCTGCCAAGAGCTGCCCGTGTCCCGCCCTGACCCAGCCCCGTGTGGGCTGGAGAAGCAGCGCCAGGAGAGCCCCGTGCCAGTCCCTGGGACCCGCTCCGAGGCTGCAGCCTGTGCCCAGGAGAAGCAGCAGATCAAGGAGCTCCCCGTGCCCGTCCCTGCTCCGCGCCCCGACCCCACCCCGTGCCCCCAGGAGAAGCAGGAGGTCAAGGAGACCCCCGTGCCCATCCCTGTCCCGCTGCCTGACCCCACCCCGTGCCCTCAGGAGAAACAGGAGATCAAGGAGCTCCCCGTGCCCACCCCGTGCCCTCAGGAGAAGCAGGAGATCAAAGAGACTCCTGTGCCCACCCCGTGTCCCCAGGAAAAGCAGGAGATCAAAGAGACTCCTGTGCCCACCCCCTGTCCCCAAGAGAAGCAGGAGATCAAGGAGCTCCCTGTGCCCACCCCGTGTCCCCAAGAGAAGCAGGAGATCGAGGAGCTCCCCGTGCCCATCCCTGTCCCGCTGCCCGACCCCACCCCGTGTCCCCAAGAGAAGCAGGAGATCAAGGAGCTCCCTGTGCCCACCCCGTGCCCCCAGGAGAAGCAGGAGATCGAGGAGACCCCCGTGCCCATCCCTGTCCCGCTGCCCGACCCCACTCCGTGCCCTCAGCAGCAGCAGGAGATCAAGGAGCTCCCCGTGCCCACCCCGTGCCCTCAGGAGAAGCAGGAGTGCCAGGACACCCCGGTGCCAGTGCCAGCTCCCTGTCCCGACCCAGAGCAGCTCTCCCTTCCCGAGAAAGCCCCTCCCGTGGAGCAGCAGCAGCTCAAACAGCCCAACCCGTGGCCTCCCGCCCAGAAGTAAAGCCGGGGCCGCCCGAGCCGAGCCCCGAGGGGAGAAGAAGATCCCAACCCCAAACCTCCTCTCCCACATCTCCCATCCAGAGGTCATTTCCCAGCGCCTTTTGAATCGCTGCAGAGTTTCTGTGGAGAAGAAAATCGCTGCTGAGCTCCCAAGTCCCCCCTCCAATTAACGCTTCGTCCTGTACTAACAGCGGATAAAAAGGCTTCAAGCAGGGTCCTGGGTGTGTGTTCAGCTTCCCAGCAGCCTGAATTCCTGCCCTCTCCCAGCCCCTCTGGCCCAGAGAGACACCAGAAAGCTCCCTGGCAGCACAAGGCAGGGTTCCTTAAGCTCAGCATTAAACTCTCCCCCAGCACAAGGCCCAGCTCTGGTCTCCCTGCCTTCCCCCCCAGCTCCCTGGATTCCACCTCCCGCCTGCATTTAGGGCTTCCTGCCTGTTAATAGTGGGAGGTTTGGGCAGAACCTGCTGCTGAAGGGTTCTGATCACCCTCCCAGCTCGTGACATGGCAGTGCTGATTGGTTTCATGCAATTAAAAAGAATCCGCCGGGCCGCAGGAAATAGGAAGGGATTTTAGGGCAGAGGCACCAGCTCTGCCCAGGCAGGAGCCAGAGCTCACCTGGAACCTTCTGGGACGTGTGAAAGGGCAGCTCCAGCCGAGAGGCTTCCTGGCAAACCTCCCGAATCCACTCCAGACACGTTTTGAAAGCAGAGATTACCTCGGGCGTGGCTCCCCCGGGCTCCACGGGGCAGAGGAGGGAACGCACCCGGGGCTGCCTCAATTACACCCCACACGGGGCTGTTGTGGAGGGATTTGCCACTTAGCTCTAATTGTTTTAGGCTGGTGTTGCATCCAGGATTCATTTCACTGTGAAAATCAGCAATAAAAGTTGCTTTGAATACCGAGGTGTGGAGGTTTTTCTCGGCTTCTCCTTAAGAAAGGTGGGAGGGAGCCTCAGCTGGCAACAGGCAGGTGTTTGTCGGGGTCAGAGCTTGGGGCTTCCCAATCAGGACCTGGAAACTCGGGAATGGGTGACCCTGAGTCGCAGAACCATGGAATGGTTTGGAATGGGAGGGTCTTTGAAGTCCCTCCAGTGCCACCCCCTGCCACGGGCAGGGACACCTTCCTCTGTCCCAGGTTGCTCCAGCCTGGCCTTGGGCCCTTCCAGGGATCCAGGGGCAGCCAAAGCTTCCCTGGGCAACCTGTGCCAGGCCCTCCCCACCCTCCCAGGGAGGGATTTATCCTTAATATCCCATCTCAACCACCTGTGTGCGCCTTTAAAGGTAATTTTTTGGCAAATAAAAGAGGAAGGTAACGAACAACACGAGCAAAGTGACAATAAAAACATCAGGAAGCAAGTCATGAGGTTATTCATCGTTTTATTGCAGCGTGCCCCAAATGAAGAGCAGGATAAAGCGGCCCCAGGATTTATTTATTTATTATTTTCCAGCAGAGGGTGAGCTAATCCCAGGTAATGAATTGCACCTCGTTGTAAAGCAATTGCTCCTTGCAAGGCTGAGGGGGCGGCTGCGGGGTTCTGGAGCCCTTCCAGCGGCGCCAGCAGACAGGGAAGTTGGGAAAGGAGCGTTTGGAAACGGGGATTTGCATTTGGAAACGGGAATTTGCATCTCCCGTGGCAGCTTCGGGGCCGGGGCCGTCGGGGCTACTTCTGCTTGGGGCAGCCCTGCTGGTGCTGCTGCTGCTGCTGCTGGGGGAGGCTCTTCACGGGGCACTTGGCCTGCCCTTTGGGGGCCTGGCTTTGCTCCACACCCTTGGCAGGGGCCACACACTTCTCCTGGCACTGGGGAGGGAGGCACTGCTGCTGCTTCTGCTGGTGGGACGACATCCCTGCCGAGCCTGCAAGGAAACCCCACAGTTACTTTAAATCCCCTCCACACACACGTCTCCTTCTGGGATATCACGAGTTCGGGAGGTTCCTCAGCTCTGGCATCGACTCCCCAGCCAAGAGGATGAGCTTTTGAGGTTAATCCTCCCACCAAAACCACTCCTGGCCAGAAATCCCTGAGGATGCTGCTCTACCTGCCCCTTATTGACTTCTTTTGGGCCCCCATCACACCCTCTGTGGGCTCAGCCACTCTGCTGAGCCCTCAGAGAGGAACTGCACATAAAATGAGTGCCAGAGGCAGGCTCCAGCCTGACAGAGCCTGGCTCCAGCCTGACAGAGCCTGGCTCCAAGCAGGGAAGTGGCTGCGGGAGCTGAGGAGGGGACAAACATCGAGGGGGGTTTTCCCTTCATTCCCTCTGCTCAAAGAAATGTTTTCTGGACATTCCAGCCTGGACAAGCACAGAAGAAATGCAGGTTTGAAGGCAGACTCGCTCGGCTCAAGGAGAACCTCAGAGCAGGGGTTCGAACTGTTTAAAGAGGAGAGAAAAGTGGTGAGAGCTCGGTGCTGGGAGTTCTGAAAGCAGGAAATCGTGGGAGAACAGCCCCCTTTGGCAACAAGCACATCCCTGCTCAGGTCAGGGAGAGCCTCAGAGCAGGAGCTGCATCTCTGGCCATCAGATTCGATGGATTTTAGACAGAGAAGTGGAACTCAGAGCCCTGGGAATCCAGGAGACCGAAGTGATCAGATGCTAAACCAGCTTCCCACGGGTGCCAGCTGCTGGCAGCTCATCCCCAACCCCTGCTGGTTATCCACAGGATTCTTATCAGCCTGGGGGAAATCCAGAGGGTTGGCAAGGGGGTTCTGGTCCCAGAGAGGCAGCAAACCACTGTTTGGAACCTCAGAAAGCCTCCAAAGCCCGTCCTGTGCCTCTCACCCGCCGGGGGAAAAGCTGGAGCTGGGACTGGAGGGACAAACCAAGGACAAAGCACCCCCAAAGCCCCAGAACCACCCCCTGGGCAGCCAGAGGGGCACGGGAGGACTCACCTGGTGTCTCACCTGGAGTCTCCTGCTCTGGGAAGGAGGGAAGGAGAAGCCACTGGAGGTGAGGAGCTGCAGGAGGGTTTTATACCCTCCCAGGAGCTGATGACAACAGATTAACTCGGTGACCAGAAGCTTTCACAACCAGAACCTGCCCCGCTCCCACCTCCGTGCTCCTGGACCACAGTCAAGGTCTGGGAAGGATCCCTCCTCTTCCAGCTGCGGGGGATTTGTTGTTTTTAATGCCAGGCACACCCAGGCTGGTAATCACGGGCTAATTCATTAATAATTCCCTCATCCCTGTCCTGGGCACGGATCCCACGGCTCTGTGGGGCTGGGACACAACTCACCTCCTCTCTGGAGGGAGCAGAACGTGCTCACACAAAATTCAGGGGATAATTTCATCTGTGACCACAGCACAGATCCCCAGAAACCTGAGTGGGGTGGGGGAACCCCTGTGCCAGCCCCTGGCAGGGGCAGCAGGTCTGTCTTTGGCCTCCTGTGCTTCTGGATTTCGCTGTTGCCCTTCTCCAGTTTCCTCCCCCAAAAAGGGGAATAAAACACTTCATAAAGCCAAGAAATCAGAAATCTTTCCCCTGTTTTTTTCCTTGCACTTTACTGTGGTTTTTCACTGAATTAACTTCATTTTTAATGAACTGAATTCCTTTTTTCCAGACTCACTGAAGTTGTGGCAGGATTTCTTTTTTTTTTTTTTCTTTTTGAGGATGGACCCACCTTGCAGAAAAATGTGGATTCCCTTGAGATTTTTCCAAGGAAGGGACAGAGCAAATGTTCCATCTGAAGCCTTGGCTTTGCTGGAAAAGGAACCCTTGATTTTTCCCACCAACAACCCTTGGCTGTTTTTACCAACAATCCTTGGCTGTTCCCACCAAAATCCTTGATTGTTCCCACCAAAATCCTCGACTGTTCCCACCAACAATCCTTGGCTATTCCCACCAAAAATCCTTGGTTGTTCCCACCAAAATCCTTGGCTATTCCCACCAAAAATCCTTGGTTGTTCCCACCAAAAATCCTTGGCTATTCCCACCAAAATCCTTGGCTGTTCCCACCAAAATCCTTGGCTATTCCCACCAAAATCCTTGGCTATTCCCACCAAAAATCCTCGACTGTTCCCACCAACAATCCTTGGCTATTCCCACCAAAATCCTTGGCTATTCCCACCAAAATCCTTGGCTATTCCCACCAAAATCCTTGGCTGTTCCCACCAAAATCCTTGGCTATTCCCACCAAA